TACTAAGGACAATTATCAATTTCCTTGTATGGTATTTCAACAAGGTTTTGCAAGGCGTTGTCGCTTAACGAACAATTTCAATTCACATGATAAAATCGCATATTGTGTCGTAATGAGTTAGACAACAGAGCAGGACACTTTAGATAACATAGTTCATTAATTCTAAACGTTCGTGTTTGAATCAGCGATTAGATCATCTTGAGTCCACATGAGGATCTTTGACGTCGGCTTCACAAATGCTATTCAACATAAATCGTTTCTTCAGAGTCATCTCATTTTCGTACAATTTGCGATGCCGATTAGTTTCGTCATTTGCGATGTGAAGCGTATGAGAAGATTATACATTTTTCGTTCATTGTTTCTTCTCTCGCTGAGTACGAAAATTCTACTAGAATCTACACTCGGTACGATTTCAGTATTAATCAATTGTTATCTAATAAGAATTCTACCTAGTAAATTCTCATACCTTTCCTGGAATAGAGGGATGCGAGAGTCGTGGATGTGATTGACATTTTTTTGAAATCAAATTTCGATCCAAAGATCGGGTTTAAAACCATTTGCTCCGATACCAAAGTGTAACACCCTAATCCGTCCAGGTCTGCAGCCCCTTTCGGACTAAAGTATTAACTTGGTAATCGTAAAAATTTAAAACTTTTCAAACACTTTTATTTATCACAATAATATTTTTCATAACATATAGAGTATGGAGTATGCAATAATATTGATTAAGCAAATTTAATATTGACATATTATAAATCATTTCAAAACTTGTCACATCCATCCCGACAATCTCGCCCCATCTGCCAGCAAGATCACATTGTTCTTTTGTGTTTAACTGCGTGTAGCAAATAAAACACACTACACGCTCAGCGGTAAAGCTAAGTAAGCATATATAATGCGTCGAACATCCATATAAATTGAAACTCAATTCATAATCAATTAATTTAATATCATGCACATAATGTTCAGTTCAAGTAATTAGTGTTCTGTTTTTACCATTCATGATTCAGTATTCAATATTCATCATTCAATATTCAATATTCAATATTCATCATTCAATATTCAAAAGTCACCATACATGCATCATTTGTCATTCAACAATATCCTTAAACTATTCTTAGTCTAAGGCCAATGTTTACCAACTATTAAACTAATTCTAGTTTAAGGTACTTTTAACCAAATCTTAAACTAATTCTAGTTTAAGGTACTCCTAACCAACTCTTAAGCTAGGTCATTAGTTTAAGGTACATATTTTTCGACCAATTTACCAACTATTAAACTAGCCTTCGCTTAAGGTACAATCTAGAAAAACCGAAGAACAAAATACTAATTGTCGGGTTGGGTGGTATCACCAAATGAGTGTCTCTAGTTTGGTTTGTAGATCCCGTACATACGTTTTAACCCAAGCCACCGAATATTCATAATTTTACCCGCAAGGCCTATTTTTAAGCCATCTTAGAGGTCTTTTAGATAGTCTTAGAAACCAACATCAATATATCTTAGAGTTCTTCTAGATATCCTTAATAGTCATTATCAATTCAAAATGGGTATATCTTAGAGTTCTTCTAGATATCTTAACAATACAAATTATTTCATAATCATCAATATATTTATTTTTAATCATTATTCAATAATTTACAATAATTATTTTAATCAGTAGGCTCATCAATCATAATCATCCATAATAATCATTCATCATAATCATCCATAATAATCATTCATCATAATCATCAATCAACATAACAATCGATAACAAATAGCGGTGTAGCTTCGAGTGTTAACACCCGAACTTACCGTCATGCATCACATAACATCTTTATTTATTAACAACATCATTTTTATTATGAAAAATCATCTTTATAATGATCATAATCAATTGGTATCAAAAATAGGATTTTAGAGCTCAAAAATAGCATTTTCGGACAATTTTTCGGATCAGATTTGCAGAGGATCGATCCAGACCTCTAGATCGATCCTTACTATGGAAAACCAATCTCGGGGGATCGCTCCAAGTGCTTGGATCGATCTAGACAGTGGTTTTTTAGCCACTGTTCATCTTCTTCTTCATTACAGGTCTAATTTTGAAAATACCATTTTTAGTCATCGAACGTCAATTAAATTATATATAAATGTTCTCCAAAGTTCATAGATCATTTTGGCATCATTAATTCATAATTTTAAAAATAATTTCATGGTTTATGATTCTTGGTTCTTCAAGCATGTCAAACACAAAACTCAACTAAACGACAGTTTGTGAACGTAGAAACGATCTATACGAACATTCTAGTCACTAGATATATCTACGGGCTTACCTCAAGCTTAATGGAGGTTTTGAAGATTTTCCGGAGAAACTTCCGGCGATAATAGCTCTCAACTCCGACGGTCTCACACCAAATTGACAGCACCACTGTGTTCTCCACACTCAAAGCTAACTCTCAGAAGAAATTTGAGATGAAATGGTGAGGAATTGAGTTCAAGGAGTTGTTTTATATAGAGGAAGAAATGGAGAAGAAGCCAAGCTTGGTGATGTATCCGTTCCTGTTTCGGCGTCTCAGTTGGAAGGTGTAACACCTCAATCCGTCCAGGTCTGCAGCCCCTTTCGGACTAAAGTATAAACTTGGTATTTGTAAACATTCAAAAGGTTTCAAGCATTTTAAAACTTTATTTCATAATAAAGTATTCAGAATAATAACAGAGTAGTTAATGTTGCGGAAGCTGAATAAATAATAATTACAAAACATAATAATATTATGTCTTTTTAAACTTTAATTCATTTTACACATCCACTTTGACCATCTCGCTCCGTCTGCCGCCAGGATTCCATCACATCATTCTTTTTGTTTACCTGCGTGTAGCAAATAAAACATACTACACGCTCAGCGTTGAAGCTGAGTAAGCATATCTAATGCATCGAACATCCATATAAACTGAATCTCAATTCATAATTAACCATTTGATATCATGCACACAATACATATTTCAAGCTTACATTATTCATAATATTCATAATATTTTATTTTAAGTCATTTCATGATATATTCAATATTCAAAATATTTCATCAGTGCTCTTAAATTATTCTTAATCTAAGGCCAAATCATTTTTATACAAGCTCTTAGCTATTCCTAGTCTAAGGCAATATTTCTAACCAGGCCCTTAAACTATAAATAGTTTAATGCAGAACACAAGAATCGATAATCCACCCTATGAGTTACGTTTGGATCCCGTGTAACGCCCCGAAATCTGGCCCAAAAGAATTAATTAAATTGTTAGAGCAATTGATTACGAATTGGGCCCAAAAAGGGGTTAAAATTATAATTTGGATTATAAGCCCAACTTTTATGTCATCTCATAGGAAATAATTTTGTGATCGCGTCGGTTCAGACGACTCGCGAATCGGAGTTATGGAGCTCATGTTATGACCATTTAATTAGGTATTTTGGGTCCGAAGCCCAATCCTTTTAGGAATGGGACCATTAAATAAACCTAAACTAATTTAAACCACTCGATCCTTATCTTCTTCGTTCGTCCTTCTTCTTCTTCTTCTTCTTCCGTTCTTCTTCTTTTTCTTCTTCTTCTTCTTCTTCTTCTTCTTCTTCTTCTTCTTTCTTCTTCGTCTTCAACAAACAGCCGCCAGTCGTCCCTCGATCGCCGCCCAAATGCAGCAGCCAGCCGCCAGTCGTCCTCCCCGCCGTTCGACCACGCCGGCGTCGCCCGAGCCAGACGCCGTTCTTCGCCGGTCATCCCTGCCGTCCGACCTCCGTCTCCAATCGCCGCTGTTTCGTCTTCGCCGGAAGTCCGCCGCCATCATCGCCGTCGAGTCCAGCGCCGGTCGCCCTTCCCCAGCCAGTCGCCGCCGCTGCTTCCTTCGCCAGAGGTCCGCCGTCAGCATCAGGCCCACCGACGACGGTTCACCTCGTCGTTCTGCCGGACATCGCCTCCACTGCCGGCGTTTTTCCTCGCCGTCGAATTGCAGCGCCGCCAGTCGCTGCTCATCGCCGTCGGGCTGCCGCTCCGCCACTGTCGCCGGCGTCCGTCACCGTCGCCGCATCCAGCCGCTGCCCCGAGTTGATATCGCCGGCAGATTAACCTCCACGCCGGATTGATTGGTCGATTTTGTATTTTGACTCAATTTGACCCGTGCGTTTGATTTCGTTGATTTGTCTTCCGTTCGAGCTATCGATTCGATTTCGGCGTAATCCAGGTCCGTACTATGAAGTTAATAGCATTTAGAATAGATTTAATGGTTTGGATCGTTATATGTGTTTATGCTATAATTTGGCTAAATTGGTTAATTGAATTAAATTGATTATTTGAATTGAATTGTTGAGGATTGTGAATTGACTGAACAGGTTTGACTTTGACT